AGGCTGTTCAGCTGCAGCTGCAGCACGGGCTGCAGCTGCAGCCTCCATGTGCTCAGCCTCACTGCTGTCCAGCACCAGCAGTGGCTCAGCCTTCGGCCGAAGGAGTGGAACTGCATACGGGCAGAGTCGCACTCCAGCAATGGGCTTGCGGAGCCAGCTGAAGTGGCCAGCCCCGCTGCGTGCCAGCAGGCGTAGCCAGTGCATATTCTCAATATGCGTCTTCGCCTTCACATGAGCCCGGATGTTGGCAAGCGGGCTCTTCGAACTAGCACTGGGCATCCAGCCTGCGAGTCCATTGAAGAATTTGTGCTTAGCCACATCCTCACTGGGCTCAGGGCCATTTAAGCACACCGCAGGCAGTGCAGGTGGAGGGGGTGACACCTGGTTGCTGCAGTTTTCACCACCAGTGCAGCCTTGCTTCTGTAAACCACTGCCGCTGCTGCTGTGGTGAGCACCGCCACTTCTGCCACCCTTGGCTTTAGCTGCACCACCAACTCGCGTGGTGTCAGCAGTGTTTACGGCCGCCGCCTTAGGCATTGTGGCGGCAATCCCACGCAATGCCCTGTCGCATGCGTCCCAAAGCTTGCCGGTGATGCTCTCTGAAGCAGGCACAAGCTTTGGTGGTGGCTGTGTTGGCCACAAGGCATAGTTGCATGCCATGCAGTACGTGAACCCCGGATGAGGCTGGTTGCCAGGGTACGTTCTGACAGAGCCATCCTGGTTGGAGTCCACAACGATGACAGAGTACGCCTTCTGACACCCTGCTAGGTTGAAGGTTACCACTGTATTCTCCAGCAGTTCGTTGGCAACCAGGTCGTCCTGTAAGCAGTAAACACCAGGGCCATGCATGTCAAAAATCCACATTGATGTTGTAGCAGGGTTCGACACTGACCCTCCTGAAACTTGCGGGCTCCCCTGTACCTCCCAAGTTTTCCTTACGGAGGGGCCCCCGTACCAGGCTCCTGTACCCCCCGTAACCCCTGCAAAACCCTTACGGGGGCACTGTCCTTGGCTGAAACGCTGTGGAAAGTGACGCTTTGCATTTTTTTGCCCTGTAAATCGTTGTTTTCGTTATTTTCTCGTGAACCATTACACTCGGGGACATGGCACACTCAGTTAAAGCCAAGCGCCTTGGCCACCGCGGCCGCCCATCCCTTCTGCTCCTCAACATGATCTTCACCCGATACGTCCGTACTGCTATCTGACATAATACTAAAGAATGGGCTTTCACGGATTCGAACAAGCTGGGCGGCAAGGATGACTTCACTCAGAACGTGCACAGCCGTGACGAAATAGCGGTACTGGTTGTACTTGAAGTGGATGCCCGGAAGCCCAGCCGCCGTTAGCATGAGAAGCATGCTCGGCAGCTTAAGCATGGGAATATGTGCCGTACGGCCTCTTATAAATCCTTAAAATCCTTACGGGGGCCCCCGTAACCGGCCTTCAGCTGGTCCGGGGGCGGCACCGTAGGGGGGCGCTTCATGCCCCAAAATCCTTACGGGGGCCACTGTAAAGTCCTACGGGCCCTTACGGGGATACCGAAAAAAGGCCAAAAACTTAGGGGCCCCGTACGGGGTGTCGAAACCTGTCTTGTAGCCTGGCCAATAACACATGTATGCTGTTGCATCAGGGAGGGGTAGGAAATCCATTATTGAACAATGGGTATTAAGTTTTGGGGCCCCCCTTGGAACAGGAGCAATTGAGTTCCTGGCCAATGATTTTTTTCAACTCGTCAATCATCGGGTGTTTCTGGTGAAGCAGCTGGCTGCATTAATTGCGGCTTCATAGGGTGCAGCAGTACAGTGGCGGTCAGGGTGCGACAGTCCGATCGGGTCCCGACAGGAATGGCACTTGTGCTGAAAATCCCGACAGGCTTTTTAAAATGCTTTCGGGCGGACCCGACGAAAAAGGGAGAAAATTCCAAACGGCCATCGGGAGCTCCCGACGGGGCCCGGAGGGCTCCCGTCGGGGGACCCGACAGGGTTAGGGGCGCTAGGACCGCCCGATCGGGTGCCGTGGGTCGTCGGTGGCCCT